CAGTCTGACATTCAAACTCTCTAAAACTCTCAGTTCTTGGAATCTAGACTTTCTTTGGTAGCAAAGAAGAAATCTGAAGGCTAGGAGTTCAAAACAATTCTGAAAAAAAAAGTACACTCATAGAGACCACAGCCCTATGATACTTTTGTAATATGATACTTATGTAATACGTTACATTTTTATCATTCTTATGTTCTTCCTGTCTTTTTTTTTTTTTTTTTTCTGGTCTATTTTCTTAAAATGCATCTTGGTGAAACAACAGATACTGGCAAGGGTGCAGAGAAAGGGGAGCCCTCTCACAGTGGGAATGCAAACTGGTGCAGCCACTCTGGAAAGGAGTATGAGGTTCCTCAAAAAGTTAGGAATAGAGCTACCCTATGACCCGGCAATTGCACTACTGGGTGTTTATCCAAAGGATACAAACACAGTGATTCGAAGGGCCACACGCATCCCAATGTTTATAGCAGTCGTGTCTACAATAGCCAAAATACATCTGTCCGTCGACAGATGTCCATCGACAGATGAATGGATAAAGAAGATGTGGTATATATATACAATGGAATATTGCTCAGCCATCAAAAAGAATGAAATCTTGCCATTTGCAACAATGTGAATGGAACTAAAGGGTATTATGCTAAGTGAAATAAGTCAGTCAGAGAAAGAAATACCATATGATTTTACTCATATGTGGAATTTAAGAAACAAAACAGATGAACATAGGGGAAAGAAAGGAAAAACAAAATAAGACGAAAACAGAAAGATAAAGACAAACTCTAAGAGACTCTTAACTATAGGAAACAAACTGAAGGATGCTGGTGGGTAGTGGGATGGGGTAACAGGGGGTTGGACATTAAGGACGGCACTTGATGTAATGAGCACTGGGTGTTATATGCAACTGATGAATCACTTAATTCTACCTCTGAAACTAATAATACATTATATGATAATTAAACTGAATTTAAATTAAAAATTTTTTAAATGCAGCTTGGTAATTGTGGTGTGTATTCAAGTTTGTATTTTATTTTCTTTTTCCCCAAAGCATTTCTTATATTGCTACAAAGTCATCATAGCCATTATTTTAAGTAGCTGTGTAAAATTCCATTGAGTGGGTTACCAAAATTTAGTGCACAGGTGCTTCATTCAAGGATTATTTTTTCTTTCTGCCCCAGTCTGCACCAGAGAACTTCACTGCAGTTGGTCACAGGGAGCCAAACTCACAGAAATGAAGTCCAAAGGAAAGTTCCCATTGGAACCAGCTGGATCTATTCTTCCTGCCCAAGGACTGGTGTGTGCTGGATGAGGGTAGGGATAATGAGTATCCATAGCTTTATATCCCCCTCCTGAAAAGCTTTGGTGGCAAGGAAAAAAACCCCGTGAGTGTCCAGCCCAGGGCAACTCATCAAAAGCCAGTGTCCCCCTTCATGCTAATTAAAGAGAAGATTTTATACATATTGACCTTAAAAAACAAAAGAGTCAGCTATTTTTCAGGAAAATGAATTTATTCTGGAATGGCAGAGAATTGCAATTTGGGAGAAGAAAAATATGGTGAACCAGAAGCAAGTCTGGATTTGTTTTTGTAGGGGAAGAGAGGAAGCTGGGAAGGGCTGTTACAGATTCTCCTTGGCTAAGTGTGGAAGTCTAGGCTGTTGCTGGGCAGGGAGAAATTCTTCCTTCCTGCTGCTGGAGTATATAAAGTAAGCTTCTTCCAGCTGGGGTAATGCAAACTGTGTTTCTTAAGGTGAGGGGTAGTATTAGAGCTCCCCCTTCAGGGATTCCAGACTCCATTTTTATTGAGGTTTCCTTTACTTTCACATATGCAAAGCAGACCATAATTAATTTGTTTGTTTTATAGACTTTATTTTTTAGGGCAGCTAGAAGTTCACAGCAAAATTGAGCAAAAGGTACAGAAGTTTCCCATTTATGCCCACACATGTGTAACCTCCCTCGTTATCAACATCTCCCACCAAAGTGGTACATTTGTGAAAATATACACAAATCTATATTGACACATCATTAATACCCAGAGTCCATACTTTACAATAGGGTTCATTCTTGGTGCTGTGTATTCTATGGCTTTGGACAAATGTGCAATGGCATGGACTTCCCATTATAGTGTCAGGCAGAATCCTGTGTACTTCACCTATTCATCTCTTCCTTCTCTCTAACCCCTGGCAGCCAGGGATCTTTTTACTGTCTCCATAGTTTTGCCTTTTCCAGGATGCCATATTGTTCCAATCATACAGTATGTAAACCTTTTCAGTTTGGCTTCTTTCACTTAGTAATGTACATTTAAATTTCCTCTGTGTCTTTTCATGGCTTGATAGCTCATTTTTTTCAGGGCCGAATAATAATCCATTGTCTGGAAGTACCACCATTTATCTACTCAGCTACTGAAGGACATCTTGGTTGCTTCCAAGTTTTAACAATTATAAACAAAGCTTCTAAACATCAATATGCAAGTTTTTACGTGGGCATTAAGTTTTCGGCTCCTTTGGGTAAATAGTAAGGAGTGTGATTGCTGGATCGTATGGTAAGAGTATGTTTGGTTTTGTGAGAAACCACCAAATTGTCTTCCAAAGCGCCCAAGCCATTTTGCATTCCCACCAGCCATGAATGTGAGTTCCCACTCCTCTACATCCTCGTCAGCACTTGGTGTTGTCAGTGTCCTGGATTTTGGCCTTTCTAACCCACGTGTAGTGGTATCTCATTGTTGTTTCAATTTGCATTCCCTGATAACATGTTGTGGAGCATCTTTTTATATCTTATTTGCCACCTGTATATCCTCTTTGGTGAGGTGTCTGTTCAGGTCTTGGCTTATTATAAATCAGATTCAGACTCCCTGTTTGAGTTAGTGTCTCACTCTCTGGGACCATGTGTGTGGACTAGAACCAGCAAATGCAAAGGAGTATTTGTGGGATATGTTCCTGGTGTAAATGAGGCTTCGACTCTGAACTGCACCTCTGGCCAACTGTCAGAAGTTCCTTCCATTATTACTACCCCTAAAATAAGCACACTCAGAATGGTGTGATTACACTACTCCTGCCTCTGCCTCGCTGCCCCCCCCTCCCCCGCCCAGCCTCTTCTCATCTCAGCTGCTCACATGTACATGTTGGAAAGGAAGGAATTCATATCATAACACTCCTCTGTCAAAACCCTGCAGCGGCTCATCCCTGGCCACCCCACCCTCTAGCTGCAGCTCTAACAGGTCAGGCACACTCCCAACTCAGGGCTTTCACACATGCTTTCCCTCTGCCTGGACCCAGCTCAAGTGTGACTGGCTTCATCCACACTATTTAAGGTTGCAGCTCCCAACCTGACTACATCTCACACTTTACCCAGCTTTGTTCTTTTCCATTGCACTTACCATCATCTGACACCCTGCGTATCTTGCTTATTTATTCATTGTCTGTTTTGCACAAGTACATGACACTTTCACCAAGGCAGGAGTTTTGTTGTTGCGCCTCACTGCTATATCCCTAGCATAGAGAACAGAGCTCAGCTATTGCAAGATTCTCTCAACATGTTAAATGAATATTTGAGGGGCGCCTGGCTGGCTCAGTGGGTAGAACATGGGACTCTTGATCTCGGGGTCATGAGTTCAAGCCCCATGTTGGCTGAGGAGCATACTTTAAAAAAAAAGAAAGAGTATTTGAAACAAGTGATTTAGTCATCATTTTGATACTGCCATTGGGCCATATCATGTTTAGAAATACATTAAACTTGCCCTTGAAATCCACACCGTTGAAATGTCTTTTAAGTGAGACCATACAAGATGCTCTGATTATTTCAGTAACAGAACTTCCTTGGCTATGACCCAAAATACAACCAAAGTAAGCCACAGCCTATTCTATAAGAAATGTAATTTTTAAAGCTCCCATTTTTTGCTTTTATTTGCTTAGGACAGCCATGTCTGCCTGCAATGAGTCATCTCAAGCAGTGAGGAAAGCATTCATATGAAATACATGTAGCTACTTTTTCTTTTGTCTAGGGTAATTGAAGCTGAGGCCAATTTACCAGAAGTTAGGAGGTAGCTCCATGGCTGTGTCCCAGAAGTATCCACCCCCAGCTCTGCTCTCCTAATGGGAGGGTAGCTTCACATCAGAGGATTCAGGTAACCTAGGTCTGGGACATCATAGCAAAGTGTTGGAATCAATCCAAGTCAAGCAAAAACAGTATCCTTGCCTTCCTTTGAAATGCCAGTAATAGAGATTTGTAAGAGGAGGAGGTTAAAAAGAAAACTGAGCAGACAGCTACGGTCTACACTGGAGGCCCTGCCCGCCATCCTCTTGGCCTCCCGACTTCATGCCCACTGGCTTCCTTTCCAAGTGTCCCTCACTGCATTTCCACTGAGTATTTCCTTGCCACAGACTGGAAGCACCAAAGGAATTACGATGCCCCGCCCAGGAAAAGCCATCAAACAATGGTTACTGTAAATAGGTGTATAAATAGGCCACCTCCTTCGCCTTTAGGTGGGATAACTCTGACGTGGGTCTTCCACACAAGGCCTAAGCTCCAGCTGCCCACCGTGGAAGCTGGCTTGGTAACATCTTTGATCGATACCCCTCCCATCCTGGATCACTTCCCTGCTCCCTCACCTTCACTTCTCACATCAGTTCTTTGCACTCTGCTGCTTATCCTGGGATTGGCTTCTGAGGGAATCCGTATTGAGACAATGTCCATTTCAAAAGGACGTCAACCTGTAGTAAGGTACACTTTCATGTAAAACCTTTTTTCTTATTGCTTTCAATCCCCTTCTTTCCTTCTCTCTCTCCTTTTCCTTTTTTTCTCCTGATTTCTAAGCCCCACATTCTTCTCTTCTCCTCTCTCTCCCTCTTTTTTCATGCTGTCAAATGACAGCGCACCTACCTGATTGCAAACCCTGTGCTGCTGCTAAAACCCAGTTGTTATCGATACAGGCCATTGAGAAGCTGCATCCTTCTTAGAGGGATTGGGACATTATTCACATGTTCAGACAAGGTAAACTATGAGCTCCTTGCCTGCGGGAGCCTCATCTTACTGACAGCATGCCAGGACAGCCTCCGGAAACTTGGCACAGCTGCCTTTCAGACTAACGGACCAACTTGGAAAAGCAGAACATACGACAGCTCAGTAAGAAAGTTGATACACCGAGGGCAAGACTGCTCCCACGTAGCACATTACTCTCCACTGAAAGCCGCTAATGAGCTCAGGCAGTCCTTGCCCTGGGGCTCCCATTTGCTTTGTCTTGTGGTGTCCAACAAGCTAGGAGTGCTAACCCAGAAGGTTTTGTGGAAGTCACAGCACAAAGGGAGGTTATGAGCCAAATACTCCGTGCTCCCTGTATAATCAAACAAGAACTAAGTAATTGCAGCCTAGACAAACTATTACTCACCCCCATTACGTGTTGCTTGGGTTCACTGCACTGCAGTATCTATGCTTTTAAAGCCACTCTTTGGTGATCCACGTTTTCAGAGACTCGGATTTGGGAAGGTTGGAAGTATATGGAAAGGAATTATTGGGGGTGATAGAACTTGCCAGAAGTGCAGATTTGGACGCCCGCCGTGGCCTCGGCCCCGCCCCCCGGGACGCAGCGCCGGTCACCTGACGCAGCTGCGGGCTGGAGAGACACAAGGGAAGTCGCTGTCGCCACAGTCGAGGAGCTTCTGCTGCCGCCGCCGCCGCCTGCAGCGGCCGGGACCCTCCGCCTCACCGCCTCCGCTTCGCCGCCCGCGCCATGCTGTCTGAGAAGACCTTCAGGCAGCGCCGCGCCTTCGAGCAAAGAGTAGATGTCCGACTTACCCGAGAGCAGCATCCTACCAAAATCCCAGTGGTAATAGAACGGTACAAGGGTGAGAAGCAACTTCCTGTCCTGGACAAAACCAAATTCCTTGTACCTGATCACGTCAACATGAGTGAGCTCATCAAGATCGTTGGGAGACGCTTACAACTCAACGCTAATCAAGCCTTCTTCCTGCTAGTGAATGGACACAGCATGGTGAGTGTGTCCACGCCGGTTTCTGAAGTGTATGAAAGTGAGAAGGACGAAGACGGATTCCTGTATATGGTGTACGCTTCTCAGGAGACATTTGGAATGAGACTGCCTGTGTAAGCCTAGAAAAATGCATCTGTTCTTGAATTTTTTTAAAACCTTACCAAGGAGAAAAAAAAGGGATATTACCAACTGAGATTGATGAGTCCATCCAATCACAGATCATCAACACAGTAGTGTTCCTGCCTAGGAGTTTTGGGAAGTTGTTTTGTACTGTACGCAGAAAAACTGAGCTCCAAATGAGCACATTCAGCTTTGGAAAACTACATTATTTAACCTAGGCTGTTTTGTTTTCAAATTTAGAAGTTTAAAAATAAAATACTTTGTATTCTAAAAAAAAAAAAAAGAAGTGCAGATTTGATCTTTATGTTGATTTCATGCACTGTTATCTTTCTAAAGACATGGATGGTCACTAGAGAACACACTGCTGGTGTCTCCCCTCCAGACACCCCATATCCCCTTAGTACCCCCATCTCTGGGCATGCCAACCCAAAAGCTTCCAGCTAGAAGCCCCCGAGGATCTTCTGGGGCCTCTGGAGCCCCTGAGTCCTTGGAAGTAGCCCTCCACCATGGCCTTCCACCCATGGTGGAAACTGATAAATAAGGACTCCAGCAACCTTGCCCGCTGGCTAAGGTAACTCTGAGGTGTGCCCCATGAGGCTCCCGAAGTCCCCAGCAGAAGCAAGCTGTGTATGCCCTTCACTAACCTGCCGGATAACATGGCCTCCACTGCCCTGTGATTGCTCCTCCCAATAAAGCCTGGGCACACAAGCACTGTCTCACGTCTGCTTTCCAGAGAGCCCAAGCTAGGACTTCCTGCTCTCTTTTCCCCCTTAGGATGCAAGTAACTATGGGGCACCTTCCAGGGCCCTTATGCCTTTTACAGAGGCAATTTCAGACACACTACCCCCAAAGAGTAATTGTAACTGCAGTGCAAAACTCTAGAGACACTGCTGGACAGATGTAGTCTTTTATCGTTTATATCACTGTAGGAAGCTGTTGACTCTGCTCCTGGGACTAGTTTAGTCATGCTGTTTGTATGTGCAGTTGAGCTGAAAACAGTAGAAGAAGATTTGGATGTGAAATAACGAAATAGTCCAGATTTGTTTAGAGCACACTCGTGCATGCATGCACATACACACACACGTTTACTACCCCTAACAAAGAAACTAGTTTGTACTGGTTTTCCAGGGCTGCCCTAACAAAATACTGCAAACTAGGGGGGCTTAGAACAACAGAAATTTATTCTCTCACAGTTTTGGAGGCTAGAAGTCCAAAATCAGGGTGTTGCCAGGACCATGCTTCTGAAATCTGTAAGGAAGAATCCTTTCTTGTCTCTTCCTAGTATCTGGTGGTTTGCTGGCAACCTTTGGTGCTCCTTGGCTTATAGAAAGCATCACTCCATTCCTCTGTCTTCACATGGCATTCTCCCTGTACCTTTTTACACCGTCTACCTTCTGTGCCTGTCCACATACCTTTCTCCTTTTTATAAGGATGTTGGTCAGATTGGATTAGGAGCCACCCTTATGACCTCATCTTAACTTTTTCGTAGGAAGTTTAGGATCCACTTGTCCATTTCTGCAAAAAAAAAAAAGCCACCTGGGATTTTTATAGGGAAAGCAGTAAATTTGTAGAACAGTTTTGAAGAGTATCGCCATCTTAACAATACTTAGATTTCCAATTCACAAGCACGGGATACCTTTCCATTTATTTATGTCTTCTTTAATTTCTTCCAACTATGTTTTATGGTTTTCAGTGTACAATGAGCTTGTTTATTAGTCCTAGAGGGTATGTATGTGTGTGTGTATGCTGTGTGTTCCTTAGGATTTTCTGTAGTCAAGATCATGTCACCTATACATAGAAATAACTTTACTTTTTTCCTTTATGATGTGAAATACCATTTATTCCCTTTTTCTTGTTTAATTGAGTTGGCTAGAATCTCTAATGAAATGTTGAATAAAAGTGGCAAAAGAAAATATCTTTGTCGTTTTTCTGACCTTAGAGGGAAAGATTTCATCAGTAAATATGAGGCTATATGTTGGTTTTTTTTAAGTTGAGGAAGTTCCCAGAATGTATTTTTAATTTGTTTATAAAATATGCTTTATGTAAAATTCACATAACATTTTGTGTCTGGAAACTTTCTACATGTGGGAAATCAGATCCTTGAATTCTTTGGGGAATTCTAGGATTACAATGAATCTATGGCCAAACAGCTCCATTTCATGGAAAGGGAGTATTTTCCAAGGTTGCCTGGTAGATTTGGAGGAAAAGGGACTGGAGACTCTGACTCCCTGCGAAATTCTTCCCAGCTTCAGAATTCAATAGACAAGTCCATGTTCGAGTGGCAAGTTCTGAAAAGAGTGTCAGTGGTTCTTTTTTTCCACAAGAACCCACAATTATAAAAGGGCTTTATATAAGACTTTATCATGAAAGCTCTTTGTGCTAAGTATGGAATAATGTTTCTTTAGGAGCCACAAGGAATAGGAATTTTGCCTAACATTGGGATAGATTTACATAAGACTTTGGAATTAAATGAGAAGTATGGTACCCATGTCTTAGATCTCAGGAAATCCCAGCCAAGAGCAAGCATGTGCTGAGAGTTGGGGTTCACTCATTTTGCTATCACAGAGAATGCCAGTTGCAACAAGCCATCATTGCATAGCCATATAAAAGAATTCAAGATGTCAAGAAGATATTACTTATGTACAGCATATGTGAAAGTGTAGTATTCATACTACTGGCGGTAGACAAAATAATTCTATATGTCAAACTACAAGTGTAAAACTGATCAAGAACAGCTGCTCAATGCTCAGTCATTACTTACCCCATATTGACACTTGGCCATTGGTAGATCTCAAATACTTTTGCCTTTGAATTGGCTGAATTTTTGTTGCTATTTCAGTTCTTTTCAGGGTGTCTCCATACTGCGCCCAGGAGTAGGAGAAAACCTTGGGTTTAAATACAATAGATGTCACTAACTTATTTGTATAAGGAAACATGGAACAAATACTGCATATTGACAAGTAACTAATGGCTCCCATTACAACATGTTGTCCCCCCCCATAGCTTGAGCTGGTAAACCCAGAAAATTACTGCACAGTGATAAAGCCACCAAAAACTTTGGTTTATCTCCACTTCCGACAGTCAGAAATATGCTTAGTTCAGGACCACAGACTCTACATGTCAACCTGCAAATGTCTACAACTACTAAATAAGAGAAGAGAGCGAATATATCTGGTGTCAGGATTTCTGAAAATGTGGTATTTATACTACTGATGGTGGGCCAGATAGTTCTAGGGAGTGAGAAAGATCAACTTAAAACATTTAATAGTTATATATTTATGCGTATTAATGTGTATTTAATATATAAGTAGCACATAGAGTTTATGTTTCATGATTGTTATAGCTTACGATAGAGCTAAAATAGGAAATTAGGTTTTTAAAGTAAGCCCATTAAAAAAAAAAGTGTCAATGGGACAGAAAATCAAGAAAATTGTTAGTGAATGTCTCCATCAGATATCAGCATAGTAGTAACTACAAAACAAAACAAACTCAGTGGCATACAACAATAAACAAGCATTCCCATGCTCTCATGTGGTCAGATGGGGCAGTTCCCTGCCATGTTTCTTGCTGTGCAGCAGGTCTACCTGGGGCACATTTTTCTCATTAAGAAAATGAGAAGGTCCCAGAGGGATGAAAACACGTATGTATGAAAACACATGACATCTTTTAAGTCCTAGCCCTGGAATTGATACACTGTCACTTCTGCCCAGTTTCCAATGACCCAAGCAAGTCATTCGGTCATGACCAACATCAGTGGGATGGGGAAGTACGCTGCTCCCATGGAGGGTGGAGTTGGGGGAACGAACATTTGCTAAGCAATAATCTAACCTAACTTAACCATCAGAGCCAATGATTGAGGTGTTAGGGTATCAGGGTTAGTGAAATTCATCACCTTAATGAAGAAGGCATATCAAAGCCAAACCCTCATTAGTGTTGTTTTATACTAGAAGGGTTATGTGTTTTAAAAATTGTAAAATAATATTTTATCATGGCAAAAAATTCAAAAAGAACAAAAAAACAAAAGAGTAAGATTGTACATCTCTCTTGATTCCAGTTTTCTAATCCTATTCCCACAAGTAAATCCCTGTTAGTTCTTAGTGTTTTCTTCCAGACTATTTTCAATGCTTATTGGTTTGTTGTTTTCCAAGAAATGTGAAGTTGCACCATACATATCATTTCTAAATTTTCTTTTTTTTTTTTTACTTAACAATACATTATGGATATTTTTCCATGGAAGTACACAGTATCAATGTCATTATTCTTAATGGCTGCACAGTACGCCATAGTATGAACATAGCATGATATAGTAAACCACTTTCATGCTGACAAACACTTAGGTGATGTCCAATTTTTTGCTATCACAAACAATATCAAAGGAATATATTTGTATGAAAATCTTTTTATACTTAGGAATTTCTGTGTTATTATTCCCAAGAACGAGTTGCCATGTCAATGGACATTGGAAACTTTGGTGGATACCTCTGAGTTACCCTTCCAAGTGGCTGCACCAATTGCCATTCCTTCCACCACATTATGATTATTCACAGAACATACTTGAGCCTTAACTGTAATTACATTTGGGAGTCTTCTGATATTAAGTATATAATTGCTTATCTGAAGCCAGAAAAGTTTTCCACATACTTAATTCTGTAGGAAACAAAATTTGCCTAATGTTGAGAACATCTTTATGGTGACGATTTCTTCCCAGCTTATAACTTTAGTTTTTCTCAAAAGAATTTCTGACCCACTGGAATGGTAATAATGAAAAAGATGTGGAAAACCAATGCTGACAAAGAGGAGGACCAACGGGAACCCTTGTACAGAAACGGTGGAAGCGAACATTGCTACAGCCATTTTAGAAAATTGCTGGGTAGAATCTACTAAAACTGAATATCTGAGCCAACAATTCAGCTTCTAGATATATACTCAGCAGAATTCGGGACATATATTCATGTAAAGACATGTACTAAAATGTTCACAACAGCACTATTCATATTAACCCCAAACTTGGAACAGTCCAAATACAGAACCTGAGTAGAGGAATAAATAAATGGTGGTACAGTCATAGAATGAAGAATCGTACAACAATGGGAGTAAACATTTATAAGTAAAAATACAGATAAATCTTGCAAACATTTTTTTTTTAAAGATTTTATTTATTTATTTGACAGAGAGAGAGACAACAAGAGAGGGAACACAAGCAGGGGGAGTGGGAGAGGGAGAAGCAGGCCTCCCGCTGAGCAGGGAGCCCCATGCGGGGCTCGA